ATACGGGGGGAGATCAAGCAGGCGGCCATGGTGATGGGTGAGGGAGAAGGCCAACAACCGTGCCGCATTTCACGCGCCCGCGGCCCCGCAACTACATTTTGCCTTTGACCATGATCATGACCGTCTGCAGCCGTCTGCCCGTCACAAAATGCACTGTCCGTTTACGCACTCGCAGCCTGTCATATGCAAGAGCCGTGTCTTTGGGTACCAATACTTGGTCAATGGATGTCGACACCCACCCGTCCACGTTCTTCGACGGCAATGCCGTGATATGCGTCGCGTCGACATGGTGTCATTGTCCGGCACGCAGACTACCAGTTACCAACTTACCATCCGTGGACCGGGTTGAGCTCATCCCCTGAGCATACGTATTGATTGCTACACTGAACTGCTCCCCCGTAGTTCTACAGGCAACGCGTCCGCGACGAAGCATGACCAGTCGCGCGCAATGGGTATAAGAAGTGCATTGCAAATATGCCTGAAGTCCAGTCATCCGACTATGGCCGCAGTCACTCCCGTCTATCCTTGGCTAACCATCGCGTACTGCCTTGCATCAGTCATGCTATTACTTGTGCTACTGACGGGCATCATCCGCCAGAACTCGAACTTGGGCGTCACCCTCTTGTGCTTCTGGCTTTTCTCCGAGAACCTGACCGCTGCTGTCAACACCGTCGTATGGGCTGACAATGCCGAGGTCAAGCTGTATGTTTGGTGCGACATCGGTACGAGGGTTTCCAGTATCATTTGACACACTGCTGATTGGGTTCAACGCTGTAGTGTCTCATCTGCGAGAGATTGCGTTCGTCGTGAAGCCCATGGCGACGCTGATCATCACTCGCAGGCTGTTTCTCATTGCTACCAGTCTACAGTCGACGGACTTTGCCAGGGAGGCAGTGGTACGTTCTGCTGCAATCTGTCTCTCGACCGCATCTGGATTCACACTCGGAATAGAACCGCCGGGATATCGCCATCGAGTGGATTCTAGGTCTGGTCATCCCCTTGCTGGTTGCTGGTCCCATTTGTGAGTCTCTCCTTGAGTTTTTCGATCATGATCGTGAATCGAACCTCACTCAGACTACCTGAACCAATACGCTCGGTTTGAGGTCGACGAACGCTTGGGATGCACGGATGCCACGTCATTCTCGGTCGTCGAGCTTTTGACCATGGAGTCGTGGACCATACTTCCTCCTCTGGTGTCCATCATATTCTATTATCGTGCGTCTTACAAGAACTGCCTTATCCCGCTGCTCGTACTGATTCGACACCTTTCTAGCCAAAGTAGTGCGGGTCTTCTATCGGCAGGTCAGAGATCACAGCAGCACCCTGTACAGTCACTACTCCGCATCCGAGCGCACGAACTACATGCGGATACTGCTCCTCGCCAGTGTCGATATACTGCTCACTCTACCCTTCGGCATCGTCAACATCACCTTAAATCTTGTAGCGGCACTGTCGCCGCCCGCGTTCTTTCCTCTGTACCTGGGCTGGTCCCTCTTGCACTCTGATTGGGATCCGGTGGTCTATACCTACACCGATCAGCAGATCATCGGTTCAGCTAAGCTCGCACAATACTACTTCACGTCTTGGACATCGCCTGTTCTCGCCTTTGCCATCTTCGGTCTCCTCGGGCTTACGCGGGAAGCGCGCGCATCATACCGGAGCGTTATCTCCGCAGTGTGCGGGCGACTGGGATGGAAGAGAGCTTTGTGGGCGCGGACCACTGGACACTCTTCGCTAGGAGATATCGAGTTCGGCATGCGACCCACGAGCACGTCTATGTTCGACGTCGAGACAGGGTACGCGTCCTTGCTGTGTCAAAGGGGCTAGACTGACGTGTTGGAATAGAACAAGGCATCCGTCGGTGCTGATATCAACAGCTGCGGCGAATCGAGGTTTCATCATCTGTACAGCTAGTGATTCGAACCCCACGAGTCGCTAGCCACACGTTGTGCATCCCACTTCAGGCTTTGCGGTCGGATGGAAGACCCGGCGCACTGGCAGGGAGACACGTAGTTTGGAGCGCGCGGACTTTGCCGGTAACTCTCCCAACGCAAGAATAGCTTGCCTGAGCCCACGGTGCATGATGAGCCCACTGGGTTGCATGGTGACCCGCCCTTCATACGCAAGTGGGGTCTCGGGAGGGGTACCCACGGTGCCGCTTCCGACGAGGGTGCTTTCTGTGCCTCGAACCCCGATCGCGAATGGTGTCGACCCCATCGTACTTCTTGTGGTACTCTGGGTTTCTAGCACATACCGGTCTATTTTGATACCTCAAGTTGATGCCGATGTATTCGGATACCACTCCGCGGATTACGTACCGTGTTGATGGGTCAGGGGCTCCGCCCTGCTCGAACTGTCGCAGACGAGGCTGCGCAATGCCAACACCTTGGTTTGGTGCGTTAAGCTTCAGGGCAGGCTAGTATGCGTATAGATGATCGGGGGCATCCCCTTCAATTGAACTTGGTTGCACTGTACGCGACGAGCGATGGTATACGACGGGCGGTACCTTTGACGGCATTCCTGGTACATATGGCCCACCTCACATGAAGGTCAAATAGTCATCGCCCAACACGTTCAATATGGGTATTTCTTACTTCACATATCCGCTGTATCCTATCGCATGCGTCCTGTCTTCCATTATGCTGCTTCTTGTGCTCTTGACAAGCGTCATCCGGCAGAGGTGGAACTTGGGCGTCGCATTTCTATGTATCTGGCTTCTCCTCCAGAATGTCACGGCCGCTGCGAGTACTATCATCTGGGCAGACAACGCGGACGTCAAGTTCTACGCATATTGCGACATAGGTAAGCTTATCGAGTCATACCCCAATACCTTGAACTGATGTATCATAGCCTCCCGGATACAGATAATCACATATATCGTCCAACCTATGGCGACGCTCCTCATCACCCGCCGGCTGTACGTGATCGCAAGTCTGCAATCAGTGGAAATCCCTAGTACATGGGTATGTCCTATATACGAGTTACGTTGCATGCCTGACGCATACATCATCCTAGAAACGGCCGGATGCTGTTATAGAATGGACATTGGGGTTGTTCATCCCTCTTCTTGTGGCCGGTCCCATATGTAAGCCCTTCGAACTAGAGGGCGGTCTTGCGCCATCCTGCTTCGCTGACCCTGGTTTAGATTATGTGAATCAGGCTTATCGATTTGTGGTGTACGAGGGTTATGGATGCGTCAATGCTCCAGCATTCTCTATACTCGAGACGCTGATCCAAGAATCGTGGAGTATTCTGCCCCCTCTGGTATCGGTGATCTTCTATTATCGTGAGTATTTAAGTGTTTCACCTCTTGTGCGTAAGGCTGAGCTGCATTCTTGCTGTAGCAAGAGTCGTACAAACGTACTATCGCCAAAGACGGGACATCAACAGCATCTTGCAAAGCGATCGTTCAAGCTTACGCACAAACTATCTTCGTATACTCATTCTTGCCAGCATCGACCTGGTGCTGACACTGCCAATTGCTATCATGCGCATCACGCTGGATGTGGTGACAGCTCTATCATCTTTAGAGTCTTTCCCCTTCTACTCAGGTTGGACACAACTACACGCAAACTGGGAACCAGTGAGCTTCTCTTACGCCGAACAGCAAACCTTCGGAACCGCATCACTCGTGCAGCTCTGCTTCGGTGACTGGACGTCCCCTATTTTGAGCTTTGCCATCTTTGGTCTCTTCGGCGTAACATCTGAAGCCCGCTGCTCATACTGGCGGATAATCCGTTCTGCGGGTGACTTATTGGGATGGAAGGCCATCTCAAAAGCACTGGATAATTCTTCTTCGCCTCGCGACGTCGGTCAGCCGTCATCTGTCGTGTTAGGATTCGACCTGGAGAAGGGGTACGCGAATCCATCCCCTATTACATTAGCTCGTTTCATAGACTCACAGGCGGCGTTCGCTCAGCATCGTCAACACAGGCGCTCCCGCTGAAGACCCGGATACGAGAGCGGAGTCATCTTGGCTTGAAGGACGCGGATTGTGTAGCTTGGAGCGGCCCTCGAAAGCAACGGGGGATCAGGAAGCTCACTGGGAGCAGTCCACTCCCAAAGCATCCTTGCAGTGCGTCTTCGCACCTGACACCACGTGATCATCAACTTACGCGATCTCCTAGCAGGAGCTTCGAGCACAATATTCCGGCCGTTTGGCAGAGTTCGGATGCCCACGAGGAATCGGATACTATGAGGCTTGGTTCACCAAAGTCGATGGAGTTCTCATCCCGTAGTTATGCAACGGTCAACTATGCTGAGGGAAGTATAAGGCGCTAATTTACATCATGTCGTACGCGACATCGTGTCCAACCGCCGAGCGTGTCTTGACGATGTGCGGACACATCAGTTCTGTTCATATAGATTCTTCCCGTGGTTTCTCTCGACACGAAGTTCTGATTGTGGCTCTGAATCACCCTCTGTAGCTTCACAATAAGTATTCGTAGGCATCGTTGAATGTAGACCTTTCTGGGGCCCAGTAGTGGTAATGGAGATTATGCAGGCGGAAGAACACATGCTTGGAGTATTATTATGCAATTGCGACCGGCTGAGTGATATCAAGACGATTGAGGCTACGAACAGTGTCAGCACGCTCCAGTAGGGACTAAAACGGTTGGCGCTGACCGCGGTTTCCCACCGCACCGCTCCGTTTTAGACGCTAACCGCGGCGGGCGCCACCGCGGTGGGAAATAACCGCGGTTTAGTCAGACCGCGGTTTGAGGCGGAAAGCCCGGTCCGAGCACTTTCGGCAACGGCCGATGATTTTCTGCGGCCTTGATGGCTGGAGACGAGGCATTGCCATCCGGCTATAGAACGTTTGACGTACATAATCTCGCCTGTTAAGGGGTTTACGGGCCGTAAAAAGTACTCGGAGAAGGCGGTGGGGTCACTGCGCCCGTCTGCTAACCAAAGACGGTTCCGAAACTTCACAAAAGTCGGGCAGTTTACCTCAAGAATGCTCTTAAAAATGGAGATATATTCCCAACAAGTGCACCCGAGATCGTAAAACTCGAGTTCAAGCAGCTCTAGGTAAGTATACTCCGCGAGATACTTCCAAGACCGATTCGGGATGCGTATCGATGACACGGAGCTCGAGTACGCGTGCACCAGCAATTGCGCGACCATCATGTGACCGCGATCTCGCTGTAGACGGTGCAACCGCGGTTTTCCGCCCACCGCGGTCAATTCCAACCGCGGTGACACGCTCCGCGACTTAAAACGGTGGACCCACCGCGGAGCTACCGCGGTGTTCCGTTTTAGTCCCTACGCTCCAGAAACGCGAGGGAGTTCCAAGACGCACGCTCCAGCCGCGTCGGCCTGCCTTGCACCAGCTGCAGTAGTAACGTTGCACTCTGATGATTCCCAGATGTCATGAGGTCAGGTGGGTTAGCCGCGTGGGCTGGAAGTTACACAGTGAAGGTCGACGAGAGAGGCAGCGCTTGGGTGGTGGCGAGACAAAACGAGTCGCGGCATCCGCCCCATTGATCTCATCTCTATCTTATCGCGGCTCACAGGGCCGAGCCTTCCGACCTCGCTCCGCGCGCGTCGCGCGAGCCTTGACGACTTCCGTCTTACACCTACCTACGGGCGCTTCCCCTCACTCGCTAGACTACATGTGAGTCATGAGGACCAGAGAACAGGAGCGCGTCACCGCTGGATGGATTGCTGTAGGCAAACACATCCGTCCGCATACGGTACATCGTCTAGTCGCATCCGGACTTCGGCGAGCTGAGTCCCGAATCGCACGGCGACCCGCGCATCAAGCTGTCAGGTCTCATAACCGAACAGCGCGGAGACGTTCGTTCGCCGGGTGCTTCTCCGGTAAGTCTGTTCTATTCTAGCTCAGCCGGCCCTGCCTCATCGAGTAACTCTCTTCCCAGGTTAGCTCAAGGTCTGCCAAACGACGTAGAGTGCCTATTGGGCGCAGTGCTCCTTACTGTTGGTTGCTATATGGCACTCGCCGTCGCACGTACTGCTTAAGGGCAAATGGCCAGTAGTTTGTCCAAAGACGAAGAGGGAACATCTCCTGCAACCGGCTGATAACGCTCCGGTGGTGGATGGTGGACTGTGCGCATTGCTTCTCCTCCGGCCCCAATCCTACGGTGTTCGTTTGTCGGGGTACCTTGCCACGCAACGATGTCACTCGACTATGGACTCCTGCCTGAGCTCTATAGGTGCACAGATCTGCCATTCATGGAAAGGCGGTAGTCACGGAGCCCGTTGTGACGCTTCTCAGCTATCTATCATCACCCCTGTCAATGTAATGAAGGGCGCGTCGCGAGTGCGAGAGTGTTCCGCATCAGGATCAGCGGGCCGCTACATACCACATAACTCGCCTCAATAGGCATAGTTGGTCGGACCTGTCTGGCTCCGCTTCTCCCTTCCTCCCTGTCGCTGTTTTGAATACCTATCAGGATGGGTCGCCATGCGTTGTGAGGCACAGCGCGGGTTCACCAAGTGCCTGACATTCCCCCCAAACGCAGTCATTCATATGCGTGAAAGGACGTTTGCGCGTGGCTGGGTACGCCTGATTGTTGGGGTTTGCCTGTATATGAGCTGAAGACATGTGCGGTGTTGCAGGTCGTTGTTCTACGAGCCCCCCTCGTGAAGATGGCCGCAGTGGATCCTACGTACCCGTTGTATCCCATTGCATGCACTCTGGCTTCCGTCATGGTATTCTTGGTTCTAATGACCAGCTTCGTCCGCCAGAGCTGGAACCTGGGCGTCACGTTTCTCTGCTTCTGGATTTTCATCGAGAACATCACCAGTACAGCAAGCGCCATCCTATGGTCAGACAACGCCGTCATCAGGTTATACGTCTACTGTGACATTGGTAAGATCGACGTCGTATCTAAGAGCGTTGGCAGCTCAATCGATCATACACTCTACACTCTAGTCAGTCACCTGAAAATCATTACATCCTTCGTTAAGCCCATGGCGACTCTCATCATCATCCGGCGGCTTCACATGATTGCCACCCTTCAGTCTCTAACGCCCTCGAGCGAAAGAGCGGTGAGTGCTTGTCTCGAAAGCACTGTTCTAAGTGACCGACAGAGTTACAGAGACGACTAGATATTGCTCTGGAGTGGACGCTGGGCTTGATCATCCCCCTTCTGTTGGCCGGTCCTATCTGTGAGTCCCACCAAGTGATGTACGGCGACCGTGTGGCTGATGTGGGTCTCATGCTTAGACTATGTGAACCAAGGTGCTCGGTTCATAACCGAGGAAGGCTTCGGGTGCACGAACACCGTCACCTTGTCGGCAGTCGTGCTTCTGACCTATGAGACATGGAACATCATTCCTCCCCTCATATCACTCGTGTTCTATTATCGTGCGTCTCTTCTGGCCTTGTCCTCTACAGGGAGAACTGGATGCGCGCTGACCCTGTTGTTCCAGCCAAGGTGATACGGGCGTATTATCGACAGCGCCGAGACGCCAACAACTTCATGCGCAGCGATGCGTCGTCGATATCCACGAATGTCTATCTTCGAATTCTCGCCTTGGCCAGTATCGACATCCTACTCACACTTCCGATTGGAATCGTCAACATCGCGTTGAATATAAGCTCGACAGTGGTGTCTATTGATACAGTACCTCTCTACCCAGGCTGGACGGCACTCCACTCGGACTGGGAACCCGTAAGCTACACATACGCCGAGTTGGAGACTTTTGGACGCTCGGAGCTCGCAAGAAACTACTTCTCTTACTGGACATCCCCCGTACTCGCGTTCGCCATCTTCTGCCTCTTTGGAGTGACATCCGAGGCCCGTGCATCGTATTGGCGTATCATTCGCGCTGTGGGCGACCGGGTTGGATGGAGGCGCACTACGCGGCCGGCAAAGGAAGGACATACGTCGTTGGGCGAGATTGAGTTTGGCCAGCGGCCGCAGAACATGTCGGGACTTGACCCGGAGATGGGGTGCGCATCCAAGTCATCTACTCGCTGAAGCTATTTTCATCACCTGAGAAGGTCCCGTACGCCTAGCAACATCAATGCTGATAGGTCTGATAAAGACGAGGTCATCGGGGATGAAGTGCTGGGGCGCCTAACGGTGCCAGGGTTGGATTCGCAATCGGTCACAATCTTGCAACATCAGGCGTCGACTGGGGACGAGAAATCCCAGTGCGTAGTGCACACGCGCTCTTCATATGGAGTACAGCTTTACTGATTGTACTCGTTTGGAACTATAGACATAGGGCAGTAGCCCTGTAATGATTGTGAGCACGTTCGTGTCATGATGACGCGTATCGGGTGGTCGCCGAGAAATGGAGAAGGGTCAAGACCGGCTTCGGTATTCAATCGTCCAAGATATGATGTGCCGTTGGATGTATTTTCTGCGGATATGCATCTATCTCGGTAGCCTTTATATCATACTAGAATGCGTACGTTGTGCCATCACTGCAAATACATGCGGTCAATACCTCGGTGGTGGGTCGCGACGAGATGCAGAAGCGCTAGCTGGCGGTGAAAGTCCTTCAGCCTCCCGCAAAGCTAGACTATGAGTCCCCCCGACTAACTAACGTATAAGCTGGCCGATGTACAACGCGGGTGGGCGAGTGGTGGTGGTAACGGACAGGGGTGCTCCGCGCCATTTACAATATTTCCGCTAACATCTTATCGCAATCTTATCGTCGACTTATCAACAACCAGTCCGAGCCCGCGCATTTTCCTCAACCCCGCATCACAGAATTCCATGCTCGCCATCCGAACGTCTCGATTACTTCCTCGACAGCTTCCCATCTTACGCCCATCTCGCGCCTATCGCCCTTTCGGCCTAAAGAAAATGGAAGTTGACGCCGCACCGTCCAAGACGCGCGCCGCGCCCGACTCTGACAGCGCGGATGGCGAGCGCGCGGGCAAGCGCGCGCGAATCGACGGCGAGCCCCCGCTCGACACGCAAAATGCCGTGCCAGAACCCGGCCCATCTGCTCCTGGCGCGCCGAGTTCGAACTTGAAGAAGAATGGCAAACCGAAGGGCGACAAGCCAGCGCACATGACGAAGAAGCTCTCCGCGCGAGCGCGCAAAGCGGCGGCACGCGGTTCGAGGGCACATGCGATGCCGGAGGAAAGCACTATGGAAGCCGTGTTATTTAAAGAGGTTGAGGACGTGCTGGGCGCAGATGCCGTTGCCAAGGCTGTAGAGGAGGGTGTAGAGTGGGAAGCGCCGTACCCGAGGGGCAAGGAGGAGAAAGCCGAGGTCGAGGTTCGAATAGTGGCCATCAGCGCGTCGGGATGCGGCATCGGGCTGCCAGTAGACGCCGGAGGGGATGAGAGGAGAAATCATTGGGCGCTTGTGGTCCCCTTCGCACTGCCAGGCGAACGCGTTCGCGCCCGCGTATTCCGACATGCGCGTCTACACTCGCACGCAGACTTCGTCGAGCTGCTCGAGGCGAATCCCGAGCTGCGTGACGATTCGCGCGTCAAGTGTCAATACTTTGGAGAGTGCGGAGGTTGTCAATATCAGATGGTCGATTACGCCCAGCAGTTGGAATGGAAGGCGGATGTGGTCAGGAACGCGTACAGGCGCTTCTCCGGTAGGCGCGCGTCTAGTTTTAGCTGTGGCGCCTTGGCACTCAAACCTCCCCAGGTCTCCCTTCCACCTCTGTTCCCACCGTACAAGCAACCATTGGCTCCCCGCTACAGTACGGCTACCGCACCAAAATCACACCTCACTTCGATGCGCCGCCTAAAAGCGTCGCAAAGAAGTACGCGGGGTCCGATCTGACTGCGCCGGAGGGTGACAAGCCGGACTGGTTGAGGATAGGCTTTAACCAGGTCAACACACGACACGTCATCGATATTGAGGTATGCGCATACATTATGGTGTACTCGATACAGTGCTAATGATGTGAGCAGGAATGCCCAATAGCTGCTCCTGTACTCAACCAGGCGCTCCCTTCCATTCGCGAAGGCATCGCAAAGTATGTCCGGTTCTTGCCTCTCGTCGGCTCAAACTCACGGAGAGGCGCGCGCAGGAAGTCCTTGACGTATAAGAAGGGCGTCTCGCTGATTCTGCGCGACTCTTTGCCGATACCTGCAACCACTGCTGAGGGCAACGACGCGCCGGCACCATCCGCTGCTTCAGAAGACGAGGCCCACGGTACGTTCTTTTCAACCATCCATGCATAACATACCCTGACTGATGTCGTACGTCCTATAGTATGCATAACGGACTTCAAAGCAACAGTCCGCGAACGCGTCGGACCCTTGCTCTTCGACTATAACGCCGGATCCTTCTTTCAGAACAACAACTCGGTGCTCGTCCCGCTCACATCCTACGTCCGCGACGCGATCTTCCCTCCCTCTTCCTCGACTGCTACTACTTCTGCCGCAACGCCACCGACACACTTGGTCGACGCCTACTGCGGCGCCGGCCTCTTCGCCCTCTCCCTCGCCGAGAAGTTCGACAAGGTCGCCGGTATCGAGCTCTCCGCCGACTCCATCCGCTCAGCGACGCACAACGCAACACTCAACAACCTCGGCGAGAAGTGCACCTTCCGCGCCGGCGACGCGACGTCCATCTTCGACGCCGTACCCGACTTCCCGTCGCATCTCACAGCGCTCGTCATCGATCCTCCGCGCAAAGGATGCGACGAGAGCTTCATCAACCAGATGTTACAGTTTGGAGCGGGGACGGTCGTGTATGTGAGCTGTAACGTGCATACGCAGGCACGGGATGTGGGGAGGATCCTCGAGGGACGCGTTAAGAGGGAGGGGAAGGAGGAGGGGAAGTATGTGATGGAGAGTTTGAGGGGGTTCGATCTGTTCCCGCAGACGGCGCATGTGGAGGCTGTTGCGGTGTTGAGGCTTGTGGACGCGTAAAGCATAGATATGGCCGTTGTAAAAAGCTATCTTGATTGCGTCTACGGGCGAGTGACCGGGAATGTGCGGGCTCGGTGTATAGCGGAGTACCTATTGCAGGAGTGATTAGTGGCTGGGCCCATAGCCCAAGCACCGTCGGAGACCGGTGACCGGTGATTGCCGACTGACCGACTGCCATGCAGTTGACAACACTCATTGCACGTTGAATCCGGCCACCATCTTCTGGCTAGCTTCACTTGCCCTGCGAAAATATCAACTTTGGTATGCTCTCATTCTAGTGTGGCTTATCTCACATCCAACTGACGTTGGATATCGCAGGAGTCACCTGGCCCGCCGATCAATTTCTTATGAACATCGCAAGTCTAAACGACGACGTTCTGCGCGAGATCTTTGACTATGTCGCTATCATAGAGCCCTTCGAATTGAATAGATTCACTCGAAAGCTCTTGCACGGGCTTGGATGGGTTCGGATGGGCCATATCTGCCAACGATGGCGGACACTGCTCCTCGAAATGCCTGCCCTTTGGGGGCGTGTCTCTCTCACAAACACGCGAGTTCCCCCAGAAGCGTTTCATACGCTGCTTAAGATGGCCCGAGACGCCCACTTGGAAGCGTATATTGAGTCTTGCCGGGCTGGTTACGGTGGCGACAGCCAGGTGCAGGAGGATCATTACCAACTTGTCCTCGGCGTCGCCAAATCACTCATACCTCGTATTCGAGTGCTGTCGATTGATGGCGTCTCCTATCATCCTCAGGATGATCTTGGACATTTCTTTCAGCAAGGTCCTCTTCCGAATCTTCTCAAACTCTATGTCAATTATCATGGCGGCAGCTGGCAGCCAGAGACCCTCGATCGCAATATCTGCATGGACGCTCCTCATCTCACTGAGCTTAAGCTCAGCCTGTTCGAATTAGGCCTACCCATGGCTGATGGATCTCACAAAGGATTCTGTCTCGATATCCCGAACGTCAAAACGCTACTCATTGAGTGGCGCGGGATGAGCTTCGGGGAGACGACCATGTGGAACCTTCGTTGGATTGCTACAGTCATTCAAAATGGGCCTTTGATCGAGAACCTTGCCATTGATCTGGCATTCTGGCACTTCGAAGCTGACTGGTTTACCCTATTCAATGGCCAGAATGCCCTTCTTTACAACCTGAGATCTTTGATCATCACGCAGCGCAGCATGTGTATGCACACTGGCGACTTTCTGACTCGCATCTGTCCCTCGCCTCCTCCCGCTTTCACATTCACCGCGCGATACATCAGGCCTGAGGACGTCGTTCCCATTGCGCAATCTTTGGCGCCGTATCTCGCCGCTTGTGCCTCGTATAGCACAATGTACATCCGGTTTTGCCACCCGATGTGGGTGATGATACACGTATTGCCCAAACCCAGTGATGCTCGCGCACTCTCAGAGGAGAAGACATTTAACTGGCGGTCCGAGGATAATCTCGCGAAACTGGAACGTCAGACGACGCTATCCCTGTCCACGCTCTCCAATCTCCACATCTCCGTAGAGCTCCTCCCCGACCTCGCATCACGACTACATCTTGCGCAACACACACACCTACACGTCAACGGCGGCGTGAACCCTGCTTACTGGTGGTACATGTTCCGACACCTCGTCGCGCCGCGAATGACATCCGTGCATACTTTCATCATCGACAATCTGTCGTGGCTCGGGCCCAAAGCAGGAGATATGAACGCGCTGAGTATCATCGGCCCGCCTGATCATGGTCTATTTGAGGGTATTGAACACCTCCAGACGTGGACAAGCTCGCCTCTTCCAGCCCTGCGCACGCTAATCGTGACATCGTGGGTCACGGGCACTAAGAGCCGCAAACGCTTGGGACTCACACACCTCGTTCGGCTCCTGATCCACCGCTTGGAGATAGGGCTCCCCGTACACTCGGTGTACTTGCGAGGAGGATGGATGAATGCAGGGCTGGCGCCAAAGACGCAGAAGGATAAGGTCATTGATAGCGAGGCGCTGAGGTGTATACGAGCGGCTGTTACGGGCGAGGTCTTCGACGAACGAGTAGTGCTCGGACCTTGACAGCGGTCATTAGCATGTACTGTGTATACTAGTGTCCATCTTGAGCTGGAATGGACGGTGGCGCGTAGCCGTAGAGTCTGCTTCCTGTCATCAGTGCCAGTGTGGCGTAAATGATCTGCTGGCGGCGCCGCTCGGCCGCGTGCACGATATTTACCCAGATCATTGCAATTAGTGTCATGACTAGTATAAGCAACATTGAAGGTATGTACACGTTATGGGTCGTGAAGTATGCTGGCTGCGTACACTAGTCTTCTATCCCCGAGTTGTGCGGAAAAGATGTTGGCGAGTCGGAGCAAAAGTCGAGTCTACCATCCCTTTCAATAGCATTGGTGCTGATGGACTGATACCTCAGGAGATTGAATTGTTACAGCTGCTTGCAAAACGATAGGCCACTTGAGGGTCCTACACATACAGCCCGTT